AGGCCCCTGTAGACAAAGGGGTGCTTAGAGTCCGGGAAGTGCGTGCACATGGCAGAAACCCCGGCTCTGCGAAAATTTGGGATAGAAAAACGCTCCTGAACAAGTTACGTTCTGAAACAGCAAGAAAATGGAGTGCAGATTCCACGTGGCGAATCTGGAGGGTGTGTTTCCTTTGCTCCGTTCTCTCCACTAGCATAAGATATTAAGGCCAACTCCGGAGTGCTCACTAACCCGAAGGCTTTAGTCCAAGAGTGGACTCTTATTGCCTCTTGGACTCGGTGAGTTGACCCTATCTGTGGCTTCAGACACGTTTTCTGATTTCTGCCATCTCCACCCAACAAGGCAGTCTAATTGGAGACACAAAATCAGTAAACCTGTGGCTGAGCCTCAGTGGGCTTTTCACTGACATCTCAGCCCTGCTAAAGCCTGGTGAGAAAGGGGACAGCAATTTCCTCTAGTCTTTTAGGCTGATTCTCAGGCTCTTGTAGCTTCTCTTTATATTGCCGTGAAGAGTTATATAGCCCCTTGTAAAGTAGATTTCCAACAAGTGGGGTGTAAAGAAGTTCAGGTTCATTAACTCTTTTCAGAATGGAAGACATTTCTTTGAAGGAGTTTGTGTTTCATTTTCCTAATATTACTAGATTTATATCCTGACCAACCCATAGGTTTTAAAGAAAGAAAGGTCATTAAATACAATAGTTTCTCCTTCTGTTTGTTAAACAGGCTCATCATAATCATTATGTTGATATTTGATTAGCTGTTAGTTTGTTACTAAGAAGTAGAACTGGATTCTTGACCTAATTCTGTCATTCTTTTCCTTTCACTAGTTCAAAGTGGCTTTGTACTCAGGTTTGCGTAAAATCTTGTGCTGCAGTTTTGCCGTTTAGGTTAGAAAGATATAAAATGTCATTAGCTTTGTTGTTTAAACGTATTACTGGAAATTTTAATGTGGCTGGCAGTAACTGTGTTGTCTGTCCACATACTGAATGAACAAACTTCTCCTCACCTACTGATGAAATCAGACAGGATTTCAAAGAAAGTATCATATGTTGTTTTAAGTATGGATATTTTTCCCCTTTAATATGTGAAATTAACCTGAAGTGTGTATGTGATTTATTAGCTCCTTGCCTGGGCAGAGGGAGCCATTGCCCCAGCTTCTTAAAGTCCAGCCTTCCCTGATTCATACTTTCATCATTTTCTCAGTGCCTCCCCACCCAAGGAGAGCTGGTGAGCTGAGTTCAACCTTCATATCTATCTGTCATGAGCCCTGACCTGCCTTCTCAGCATTATTTCCTACAGTTCAAAATATAAATCATGTTTTCTTGTCAAACTAGCTTCTTGCTTTCCCTTGAAGGAGACACAGTACAAATTATTAGTCAGGAGATAGTATAGTTATCAGCCACAATCTATACCTTACTCATGCTGATCCTGTACTTGGCAGGCATCTCCCTCATTTCTACCTGCTAAATTTTGCCCATCCCACAAGCCTCAAGGATTGCGTTCTCTTTGATCTTTCCATTGGAGGAAGGTCTTTTCCATATTTGAATCTCTGTAGCACATAATATGCTCTCCACAAATATTGTTGAATAAATATTTCTTTTTCCTTTCATTCATCCATCTACCCATCCATCTGATTATCAGATATTTATTGAACATCCACTATAAGCCAGGCATATGTAGTTGGTAAAATCTAGCCTGAAGCTTATCTGTGGGTGTCAATAGTCTATGCGATTGCAATTCTCCGCCCTCATGAGGAAAGATTTATTCTTATCATGCAGAAATACTTCTTGCTGTCATTATCAACAATTTCATTATTTCTTAAGTTGCTCCCTCATTGGCAAATTTAGCAGTGCACATCAAGTTTCTACATTTGTGCACTAAATACACTTCTAGCTTTGTCTTATCCTCTCTTTTCTATTTTTATTTGCCTCACATTCCTCATTTCTTTTTTTTTTTTGGTATTATATGTATTTTAATAACCACTTGAAATCCTCTTGAAATGAAGGAGAGTACTAATAAGTAGCATACATTAAAAAAAAATCAAATAATTAGCTCCTAACCATAAATCCATATGATGAAATCTCACTGAAAGAGCTCTTGGTACAGAGGATTCGGTAACATTTAGGTCTTCCTAGGAAATTGTTCAAGGGGCTAAGTGTCTGAGGTAATTATAGGGTGATCTTACTTTTAATGTGGCCCCACAAATATAGTCTTAAGAAAATGAATTAGAAAATGCTAATATCATTCTAGTGATTAATGGTATTTGAAAACTGCACTGTGAGATCTGAGATTATTTCACAGAGGCTGGGAACCATGAGGGAAAAACATGTCTATTTATCTTGAAAAACTTTTTCTATCATATTGACTGATTTTTAAAAAAACCAAGGTCACTGGTGAAATGACTAACCAGTTTAGAGCAATAAAGAGAGCAAAGCTTAAAAAGATATAGAGATACTATTTGAGAGGAATGACTCCTGAAATGAGGGTGATTTCGAGAGGGTCTTTATGAAATCAGTACCAACAGGGTTTACCAAGCACAGGTCCTCTCTTCTGATGCAACAGAAACTCCACACATCTGCCAGCAGACAGTTGTTACAATAATACACCTTATTAGTAAAAGGAGGCTCTTTCACGCATGTTAAGGTTTTGTAATTTTGCATTCATATTGCTCGTATTTCTCTTTGAACACCTTTAATAAATACAACTCCACCCCATCTATCTGGATATGTCTCAAGTCTAATAGATTATATTTAAGCTAGGCAGATTTGTTCAGTCCTAAGACCAGTTCCAAAGTTTGTTTTCACAAGAAGTACTAATTTAATCCCCAAAGATATATTTCACACATCAGCCACTGTATCTTTATGGTTAATCTTAGGGGAGAGAGAAATGGAATTGCCAAGCGTTACATTAAGATGAAAAATTGACCTCAGAAAAACCAGAGTGCTGAACAATTAATATAGAGGAATGAAAAAAAAAAGATCTGGAGAACAGGAATTATTTGAATTTAAATGGCTTACATGGCTTTGGGTGGGATATCCAATTTATTAAAGAAAAACTAGTTTCAGTTGGTCTTTTTATAAATATTATTATTTTTAAAGCCCAGTTCATCAACCAAGAGGACTTGCCATGTTTGGTTGTCTTATCTACATTTATCAGGTTCTGGTGCTGCTCTTTCCCTGGGTTGTGAACCTCCAAGGGCAGATGTTACATTTCTTTTTATTCCTATTGTTTAGGATTTGGTGCATTTTTGATCAGTGTTAGTTTCACATAAAAATGTGCTTTTGTGTCCTGTCTATAATCCTGAACCATGCCAAGATGGCACAAATCTCAACCTTTAAGAAAGAACAGACTTAAACATTAGTTGATGTTCTGGAAAACTTTTGGCATAACTCGAGATCCAGGAGACAGAGAGAGCAAAGAATTTACTATTTTGTCCTGCTTTCAGGAAGTCCTCACAAAGATTTTAGCTTGATCCAAATTGTGCCTTCATATACATGTGTACACATCTCAAGGTACAGTATGAATCCCTGTAACCCAAGACTGGAATGCATAGACCATGTGTTTTTTTCTTGTTGCAAGTGTCCTCTTCCAGTTTGTTTCTGAGAAAATAATCTTTAAGAGCCCCTCTTATGGTCCAGGTTTAGACCTTGTGTGATTAGTCGCTTCATTCGTGTCTGACTCTTTGCGACCCCATGGACTGTAGCCCACCAGGCTTCCCTATCCATGAGGATTCTCCAGGCAAGAATACTGGAGTGGGTTGCCTTGCCCTTGTCCAAGGTTTAGACCTTATCAGGTAGATTTTTTTTTCTCTGGGCTTTAGTGAAACTACTTTGGGAAATAACAGGAAAAATCCATGTTTGAAAGTGAGCTACACCAGAGGAGTAAGGTTCAGAATGAAATGTGATCTCATGGAATGTGATTACCTAAGTAGCTGTGCTTCATTATTTTTTGTTTTCAGAGTAGCACCCACCAGTCAAGTGGTTGCATATCTCAAAAAACTTCAGAATTTATAATTTTAGAAATCTGAAAGAGTTTCCAATGTGATCTCAGTGGCTGGGTTACTTCTCCTTGTAAAGCTTTTTTATCTGATCATAAAACAAATAGCCTACTTCTTCAAGGCATATTAATGCCATGAAATCATGCTCCCGCTTTGCCCTCTTTTATCATATCAGCAGGAGCTTAGAGTCTGGTATAAGAGAAAGCATGACATGACAGAGTTAATTTTTGCCAGTGCCCTTCTGGCCTTCACTGCAAGAGATGGTTATTCAGTTTTGTGTTTTTTTTCTGGGCATTTAAGTTGATGGTGCTTCTTACCTTATTATTGGGTCTGACTGCCTTATGGTGAGTCTGAGATCTTTGGGATCATGGTCTCAGAGTTCCTGACCTTTACTGCATCCTAAAGTTCTAGTCTGGGGACTGTGAGAACCTTGGCGAAGGAAAAAGAAGTATGCATCACCATGAATTTGTTTTTGTGAGATTTCAGAACAAAATGTTGCTTTCTGAGGAAGTGCCAAGTGCCATGTGGCCTCGAGGAGTGGCTCTCAGCCTAGCGTGCTGAGAACAGGGCTTTGCCCTTGAGATCTCAGGTGGTTGAAATGCTATCTTGTGCCCAACTCCACCTGCTTTGGCACATCTCCAGGGGTTTTACTCCCTGCTTCTTGGGGCCTTAGTAAGAAGCAAAAAGATTCAACCAGCAAAGCAAAGGCCTGGGAGACACTGCCATCAGCTCTGATGGTTGCACCTGATAGAATTTCTCATAGCTTTTAGTTGTTTTCTGTTTGGTTTTGCAAGGGAACTAGTTATGGGAGCCGGGTGAAGCCCTTCCACAGAACTGTTGTGAAGAGCAGAGGTGGCAAATGACAGGCTATGACTGGGGACTGACTTTGGGGAAGGCTGGAGTTTTGAGATGAGAGCCAAAGAAGTTTCCACCTTCTAGCCCACAGGTGAATTTACTGAAAAGAAATCACCGTCATGTCTGCACATTTCTGGTGTGTGTGCTCCTACTCTGGAGAGTAATCTAACTCATCGTTTGCAATCAGGGCCTCTGAGTTCTGTTTGTGTTTGCTTTTGCTCTTTGCCTTGCTGCTGGTCCGGGTGCTGGGCTGCGAATCTGACATCTGCTGGTAAGAGAAGCCTTTGTCCTCGGCCGGCCCGCCCCAGTTCTCCTGGCTCTCGCCCTCCGTGGCATAGGAGAAGCCCTCCTCCACTGAGAAAGGGTCGTCCACGTCGTAGCGCTGGTACGTGCTCTGGTGCAGGGCTTCTTCTCGGGCGCTGATTTCCAGGGTGCTATTCCAGATGCCATACCCAAAATAAATGAGCATACCTGCAGCGGGGGTGGGGTGAGTGGGGGGAAGCACAGGTGAATAAGCTGTTGTTTGGGGACCCACGCATCAAGCAGAGGGCTGACTCCCAATGGTGAGGGCAGACCTGGTGGTAGATGTATTTTCTTTGGTCTACACAGTGTTTTGAAAAGACTCGACTTAGATGCTATTTAAAAATGGTCGATCTTAAGCAACCCCTACTTAGAGCAGAAGGACTGACAATGCTATACCCACATTCCTACATGGAAACTTCTGGCTGGAGGTGAGAGCTGGCCATCTCTTTAGTTGGCATATGACGCACTTGAGGTCACCTCAGTCCCCACTCCCCTACTGACATCTAGCTCACTGTACTCCTGTAGGTGCCAGCCAGGAATTTGCCTTTCCTTTTCTGGTTTAAATAGTTATGAATTACCCACAGTGTACCCCCAGCCTTCTCATTTTACTATCCCAGATTTCCACTACAGACTCAAATTCTTTTATTTCACCACATGTGTGGGTGCTCAGTTGCTTCAGTCGTGTCTGACTCTTTGCAACTCTTTGGACTGTATAGCCCACCAGGTCCCTCTGTCCATGGGATTCTCCAGGCAAGAATACTGGGGTAGATTGCCCTTCCCTTCTCCAGGTTATCTCCTCGGCCCAGGATCGAACCCACATCTCTTCTGTCTCCTACATTGGCAAGTGGGTTCTTTACCACTAGTGCCACCTGGGAAGCCCCATTTTACCACATAGCAACATGCATATATGATCCTATGATTTACTTTGCCACTTTTCACTCAGCAGAGTCATCATACTTTACCATCACTCAACTGTCCACTTAGAATATCTGTTGTATGATTATCTGTACGGGTTGGTTCTATTTTATAGACTGTAGAAAACTGGCACTTAATGTTTGTTGAAGGGATGAAGGAGAACTCCCAATGAGCATGAAATGTTCAGTGCAACCTCCTTGTTTTGATGTCATTCCAAGCAAAGGAAAGAAGCCTGCCTTCCTAGTTAACCTGTAGCATTATATGGGCTAATGTCTCATTTCTGTAAGAACTTTTAGGAAAAAAATTTATGAAAATAGTTTGAGAAAAGCCCATGGAGGCTCGGGGCCTGGAATGCTGAGAACCATAACCTTGGAGGCCAAGGGGCCTGATGGTTGAGAAGGTGAGGTCTGAGTACAAATCCTGCCTCCATCACCGTGTAACCCTGGACCAGTTACTGAGCCTCATTGTGCCTCAGCTTTCTCTTGTATGAAATCTCAAGCGTACTGTACCAACGCATGGGGCTGCTATGAGGAGGAAACGACATAAGCAGTGATTCTCAACCCTGGCTGCACCTGGTGGTCACCTGGGGCGTTCCTGCACAATCCTGACACCTCATCCCTTGGAGATTCTGATTTAATTGGTCTTCAGTGTGACTCAGGTGTAGGTGTTTTTAGAGCTTTACAGGTGATTGCCGTGGCCAGCCAAAGCTGAGAACCCCTGAGACAGGGAACCTTAAAGCTCCCGAGGCAGGAATTCCCTTGTAGTCCAATAGTTAGGACTTAGCATTTCATCTCCCTGGGCCCAGTTCAATCCCTGGTCGGGGAACTAAGATCCCGCCAGCCACACAGCTGGGTGAAAAAAACAACATTGGCGGTTGGGGCTTCAACATGAATTTGGGAGGGACACAATTCAGTCCATAATATTAATATAAACTAACAAAGGAGATAAAATGGACTCATGAAACATCACCACAAGCCTCGTGATGTGGCCACAAAAACCCCCAAACTCCTGATGCGTGTGCTTTACTGCCAACTTTGGCCCTTTGGTGGCCTAGCCAGTGCGGTCCCCTCGGTTATGCATCTCCTTCCAGGTACCAACACACTCTTCTGGGTGGCACCTAGTCTCTCTGACTTTGCTAACCCTGCGGGCATCTGCTGGGCTGTTTGCTTAGAACCACAAGGTGAAGCCTGCTTTCCGCTCTGGTCCCCGAGGTATTCTGCTTCCTTTTGAATTTGAAGTGTGTCTTTTTAAGCTTGGGTTTCTCCCTCCTCATCTCAAATGACTCTCCCTGCCACCTTCCCCCCCCAAACCCCATTTTCCTGTGAAATCAACTTTCCAGGAGCCAAAGTAAGCAGAGATTTATACTCCTAATTGGTAATAAATCCTGGAGCTAATCATTGGCAGATGTGGCTGTTCTCAAATAGCAATTTCATTTTTTTCTGAGCTTGGATCTTACTCTTTCTTGTCTGGGGCTGAGGGTGGGGTGGGCATGGGGGGATAGTTCTTATCGTTGTGGAGAACAAGGCACCAAATTGAGGCCTCTTTTAAAAGGGCCAGCAGTTTGCTGCTTGGAGAATACCTCTGCTGGAAGCACATTTGAAACGAGAGAGCAAATTTCAGGAGACTGAGTTTATTGTCAGGCACACACCACCCTTTGCCCAGTTTTTCTCTCTTGCTGTCTTTTCTCCTAGACATCCAAGTAGGTGGCAAAGCTTGCCTCCTCTGTCTGCTTAGTATCTGTTATGTCAATTCTTTCCTTTTTGATCCCATTCTCAGATCCTGTTTGTAAGCGTGTTGTTTCCCTACTAGACTTAATAAAAGTTTTTCTTTTCCCCTTGCCCCTGGCTTCTCTTCTCTGTACTACAGAGGTTATCAAGCACTGGTTTGACATCTATTCTGACAGACCTTCCCCTAACCCCACCAAGTATTGGGATGTTTTGTCTGATAGATTTGTGAAATGAAATTGTGAAAGTGTTAGTTGTTCAGTTGTGTCCGACTCTTTGTGACTCCATAGACTGTAGCCCCTGCCAGGTTCCTCTGTCCACGGAATTGTCCAGGCAAGAATATTGGAGTGGGTAGCCAGTCCCTTCTCCAGGGGATCTTCCTGATCCAGGGATTGAACTTGCATCTCCTGCATTGCAGCAGATTCTTTACTGTCTGAACCCCCAGGGACGCCCATCAGAGAGATTGGTTTATGGTAATTCTCTAAGAACTTTGGTGTGACTCCTCATAGAATCATAGATATTTAGAGCTGGAAAAGAGTCTGTGTCATTTATCCATTTGAATACCTTCATTTTACTGATGGAGAAATGGAGACTGGGAAAGACTAATTCACTTGCCTGGGTGTGTGAAGGGCAGCACCAGCAGTCCATGAGAGAGAGAAGGCTCTAGCTTATCCAGCCCTTCACATCCCCTCCCTCGATGGGTTAGAGACTGCCTAGTACAGAAATAGCCAGTACGAGCTTAGGTTTTGTTTTGGGAGTGGCTGGGCTTGGAAGGAACATGAGTATGTATGTGTGTGTGTGTGTGTGTGTGTATCAGTACGCAAATGTGTCAGCTATGATTACTTTGGGAAAGCAACCCATGGAAACTTGCCACATGAATATTTATGGGCCTTTGAGCCCCCTACAGTTTCTAAGGTGTGCCACGCTGTCTTCAAAAGTACACTGCAAATATGAGGGCTGTGAACCCAGAAGCGACTGTGGGCACTGGCCAGACAGCATGAATCGACAGCTTGGGCAAGCGCATTCTCCTTGGGCTTGGTGTTCTGTCTGCCTTTCTCTTTCTTGCTGGCCCTTGCGTCAGTTCAGGAAAAGTGGTGTGAGGCAGAGAAGGACTGGAGAAAAGGAGGAATGGAGAAGGACAAAGAAACAGAGGGGAACAGATGGAAGGGGCGCAGAGAGAAAGAGACAGGGCGGGAGGAGAGAAACATGTATTACCATCTGTCACACATAAACAAGGGCTTTGTGTTGGAGGAGTAAACAGTGCCGCTAAAAGCCTCCTGTGTAGAAGCAGGGTGTTTTGTTTCTGCTCCTTTCTTCAGTTGGCTTAGAGAATGAAGCATGAGGTAGTTTCTGAAAAATCTGTGGGGATTCTGGGAATCCTGAACAACACTTCACCCAGTGCCCCTGGGTGATGCGGCCTTTCTCCCATGGAACTAAAAATACTCTACAGGTGTTATCTTGTTTAGATTCCTCCTGAGAATGGTGTGTGTGTGTGTGTGTGTGTGTGTGTGTGTGTGTGTGTGTGTGTAGGTTATGATTATGGCATTTCACAGACAGAAGACCAAATACAGGATTTTCTCCAGCTGCATAGTCAGTGTTTAGACTGTTCAGATGGCAGTTCCTTCCAGGTCCTTCCATGTCCTGATCCTGGCTGCTTCCAATTGTTATTTTTCCCACTTACCAGGGGGTGGTTGGGAGGTACACACTAATTGGAAACGATTTTGCTGAACTTTACTTTTTATAACATTTATTATCTTATTATGTATTTATTTGGCGGTGCCGGGTCTTAGCTGTGGCATGCAGGATCTTATAGATGCCGCGTGTGGACTCTAGTTCCCAGACCAGGGATTGAACTGGTCCCTTTGCATGGAGAGCGCAGAGTCTTAGCCACTGGACTGCGAGGGGAGTCCCTGAACTTTTCTTTTGAAGAATTTAAGTGGAGAGAACAGTATTAAAAGGCCCATGTATTCATCACTAGCTTTCTCCCTCCTGGCACCCACTCGACCACACCTTTCTCTTTAGATTACTTTGAAACAAATTCCTTTCGTCCTGTTTCCTCTGTAAACGCTTTAGCAGGTATCTATAAAATAGACTCCTCTAAAAAACTTAACTTATTACCATTGTCACATCTATAAACTAATAATTCCTTAATATCATCTGATATCCAGAAGCATCAAAATTTCCATGAATTATTTGTTTGGATAGACTCTTCACTTTTTAAAGCTATACACTTATTCCAATGATGCTGTCTTTGCTTGAAATAGTTTTTGGGTCCTGTTATTCAGGTTGTCAGTGGGATTGGGTTTATTCTTTTGTAAATCCTTGTGGATGGCAAAATTTTGTCTTTTGACAGTGGATTAGCTTTTAGCATAAGCCAGAAGTCATTTGGAATAAAGTTTCAAGAATAAGGTGGCTAATTGATAAGTAATATTATTTATTCTGTTTGTGGATTTAATTCTCCAGTTCCATAAAAACATAGATTCACTGCTTTGTGGTTATCTATCTGATACCTGAATAAATGGAAGGCAG